CCCAAGCATACAGCCCAAGGAGCGAAGGGACAGGAGCCCGGAGCGACTTGGAACAGTCCTGGAGCAACTAGCATCCCAATGCCAGGACCAGCACGCAAAACGGAGCCAAATGGAGTTTGGCACTATTTCGGCATACCGGTGGCCTAACACAAGGATATGGGTACTCCACCAGCTAGCATGGAATAGAACTTGGGCTTAGACCCAAGCCGGACGTAGAACAAGGACAAGCACGCAAGCGGGAGCTAGACTATGCCTCAAGTTGGTCGGCCATGCCCAACCTGCCCACTATCCCTACTATACATTTGGAACCCCCCACATCCCCCCCCCCCCGAGGGACACACGCTTTGGGCTTTCACCCCAAGCCTCCCTTAGTATCAAGAGTTAGTCTCTGGAACAAGCTCAAAACTTACTAAATATGGAATGGCGCTAGATTGCGAATTTGGACACAGGAGAAACACTATTGTGTTCAAGCCAATCTCTACATTCCGTAGATATGCCAAATGAGCAAATCTGGACACTTTCCATAAATAGCATTTGGGACTGAAATGAGACTAACACAAAGGGCATGATAGCAAGGGTGTTTGGCAAACACGGTAAGTTATCATTTAGCGAATATTAAGGGACCAAGCTCAATATCGCAGGGGTTCCCAACACTAGCAAGTGCAAGTCAACGAATGAGTTTCTCTAACCAGGTCAAGTATGTTTAGGAATTCCTTCCTTATGCTTATCTAGTCAAGTGCACACGCGAGGACTAGTTTCTCAACTAGCTTAGGCGGAGACTGATAACAGGTCTAACAATACTGACCTCCTACCGTCGTGGCAGTAAGGAAAGAATATCCAAAAGGACTGGCCGATAGGTAACTTTAGATACCCAAAGTCACATTCACGACAGCACTGCCGTGGACGGAGTGGGATTTAGTAAAGACCGAAGAGGGATATTGGGGAAAGGTGTTCTCCATATCTTTGGGCATCCTAAGGATGCTAAAATGTGGTTATGAGATAACCATTCATGGATGAATGGCCTAGTCTTTAGTTGACAGATTTGTGGTACATGTGGTTTTGGACTATTAATGAACAAAGGCAAATAGACATAACCTTAGAGTAATAAGCTAACATGTCAATAGTACTTTGGATGTCTATGAAATTAGACACATGAAACATTTGGACCAAGTGTAAAAAATAGAGTGGTGTTGAGGCAACCCATGGAGATAGTAAATCCTTAAGTTGAGAATAGAATTTATAAAGGTTGTGAATGAAACTCTTCCAAATGGCTAAAGGTGTGGTTAAATGATTAAAGTAGAATAGAAAAATTAATCGCTTACACTAAAGGCCCAACTACTAAGTCTCACTAATCTTTGGGACTGTTGACTATATTACCAAGCAAAATGGCCTCTAGATTAGTAAGGAGAGGCATCTATCAAGGCATTGAGATGGCATCATAGAGAGCATCAAGGTATGGATTGCAAATATGGAGTTGAATTTCCCTAACACCATGTCAACTCTAGGATGAACAATCTAACACTTAGTTCTTTATGAGTAAGCTTTTTAGGATAAAATTACATAAAATTTATTAATATCATTATTTTCCATTATTTCTAACTTAAGAATTATTTATAGAAATTAAAAGAA